TCAATGACCCTAGCAAGTTTTTACGAGAAATGATATGTAATGAACCAACAGAGCTGGAGTGGAAGATCGCCTCTGAAGTTCAGTTCTTATTGGAGGGACATTTCATTGATGAGGACACTGCCGAGGCTCTGAAGCCTAGACGAACATATATTCCACAACTTTATGGCCTGCCAAAACTCCACAAGCCTGGCGTGCCACTCAGGCCAATCCTGTCCATGAACAACTCACCACAGTACAAATGGCCAAATGGCTGGTCAAGGTGCTAGAACTAGTCCACAGATCAATGGTGAAACACCCTCAAGGACAGTTTCGAATTGATGGACGTTTTGGACAAGATAAACGTCGCAGAAGAACACATGGCTTTATTCAATGTCCAATCCCTATTTACTAATGCCCGTGAAGTCGTCAAAACCATTTGCGATCATATATTGAATGATCCAATCCTAATGAATCTACCAGTATCAATCTGTGAGCGTTCATCGCTACTCTGCACAACCAGTCTGTCATTTTTCAAAGAAAATGCGTACAGACAATTTGATTGTGTCGCTATGGGAAGCCCGCTAGGCCCTGTGCTGGCAGACCCGTTGATAGCACATCCCGAACACAAGACAAATCACATTCTATAGAAGGTGCCATCCTTTACAAACGATATGTTGACGATACCCTAGTAATAACAGAAAGCCTAGAAGAAGCTACAGTAATTCTGGATAAACTTAGTAAATTACATCCAAATACTTGCTACACAATGGAGTCCGAAGCTAACAACACACTGAATTTCCTTGACATCAGCATGAGGCCAAAAGAGGATGGAACGACTGCCCAATCCATTTACCCAAAATAAACCTGGACAGGCCAATATTTTCACTTCAAGAGCAATGTGCCCCTGTGGTATAAACATGGTCTTGTTTGGACGCTATTCAACAGAACGAGGAGGGTCTGTACGGAAGATAAGATTGAACAAGAACTACAAAACCTTCGAGAGATGTTAGCAGAAAACGCTTACCCGGAAGCGTTTGTTAATAAACATAGCAAACCAAGAATTGTAAAAGAAATGATTGCGTCAGCTCCAAAATTACGAGTGACGTTGTGCCTCCAATTCAAAGGTGATGACGTAAGCTGTTTGCTGAAAAAACGACTGAGATCGGCAATTGCTCAAGCCTACTATGCAGCTGACCCCCAAACCATCTATGAGATAACCAGAATACCCACACCCCCGGTAAAAGAACTTCTGCCTCTGTACACCAACCCTAATTTTATTTACCAATTCCAGCGTGGGTGCAGCGCCACCTAAAGAATAGAGCGACAAATGACTAACCGGGTGGTTGAACATATTCAAAATCGGGTCCAGTGTCCAATCTGGGTCAAGTCCGCGGCATAGAATCAATGGTCGAAACTACAAGGCTCCGTCATCAGCCATAGCTCGGCATCTTCTGATGACGCAATACCAGATCGATCGAAGCACGGCGTTTTGGATTATCCACAAGTCACGAATCGCAAGATTACTACGGTTAGCAGAACAGATTACTATCAGCCCATGGAAGCCCCACCCCGTGTGTCAACAAAAAGAACTTTATGTTAGCTCATCCTTACTCTGGTAACAAACAGTCTTTTACCCCTCACCCCATTATGTGTGTCTGTTTTATTGTATTTTACTCTTCTTTGTTACCATACTAAATCCCTATATAAATATTGTGTTTTCGACAGTATTCATCATGTTAGGATGGGGCAAATTCGCCTTAGACATACATCGTGCAGTATTGCAATATGGTCTTTTCTTCTGAAATTAATCTCGGAAAAGGCTTGCTTCAAATGTAAAATACAGTTTTTAAAGTTTCCTTTTATCGTAATGCTTTTAAAGTTCTTGTTAACTCACAGTTTCCAGGGGTTTTTTCTATTATAAAAATGGCATAGTTATTCAGGTCCTTCAGGAAATCTCTTCCAGAAGTGGATTTTGATAAAAAAGGCAATTTTGTTTACCTCATGAGTGAGAAGAGAATCGGATTGAAATTATATGTAACAAATAAACTCACTGACCTATACGAGGTAATACAGATAAATATTTTATGCGCAAAATTGTAAAAAATCTCTACCGGAATTTTTCGAGCATAACATATCTAATAAGCTTATAGATCCACGCATGTTAATCCTGTATACCGCTAAGTTTGCAATCGCAGGGCTTTGTTTTAGCACTCCATGATTTTGCTACCCGTTTCTCTTGGTCATTGAACCCTTGGTATTTTACACTCCGGTTGTCCTAAAGAAATCCTGCGTCTGAGCAAAAATAGTCGCTAGTTTATTCGTCTGTACGGATCAGTCTTAGTTGTTGTAAGCATGCGTTCCACTGCAAACCGAGTGTACACAACAAGCCTAGGGTTCACAAATAAAACAAACTGGGACAGTGGTCAGCGGACAACGACCATGAAGGAGACTAAATCTAATAGATAACACTGGAATCACTGACACTGTGATGACTTTACTATTTAATGAGATTTCGGTGTGTAAGAAAGTTTGTTACAACCCAATCACACACATGTAAACTTTAATTAATTTTCTCCCAACATCTGTCTCAAGAAGCATCTAACAAAAATTAGACCTTATCTCATTAGGGTCATAATCAGCAACTTTTTTGATACACCGCCGGATCAAGTTGTTTTTGCTTCAATGGCAAAAAACAATTAAACTGTTGATTGACATGAGGCATCAATTTATTGAAAACCATGATGGTTTTCACACAATATTTGAAGTTGATTTCGCATGCACGATAAGGAATAGCAATTATTCAAGACTAATCCCCAAACATTTTGTGATAACAACTACTGTGTCAAGATCGTAGTTGAAATCAGTCGTTTTTTTCAATAATAAAGTTTGAACTTTCAGTATGTATCAAACTGTAATTACTTTGAAATTTACTAAGAAGTGGACTTAGATGTTTTCTAACTTGGTCCGTTAATCATCAAACCAGCATCGATGGCAACTAGTTAACTTCAGAAATTGTATCTCAACACGGTGAGCTTGATGAATACGAGTGAGAATTATTGACATTGTCTCACTTGTTGCATCGATTTAAACTGCTGATTGCGCTTTCACCAGATTTCTATGTTCTTTGGTGATTTTTTATTGAGTCTGAGTCGAGTTATTCCGTTGTTGAATGAAAACAAAAAAGATTTTGAATCTTTTTTCTAAACAATCAGAAAATTTCTCAGATGAATAGATGTTTTGATTTACCGAATCGTGATTGAATCAATGCACCAAAAACATTTCGGTCACAATAAAGTTGAGGTATTTCCTTCGGATACTTTCACATTATTCATTTACACGATGAAACTGTAGATAACAGTTACTGGAATCATTGAGCTCCACACTATTTGACAGACTACTTACTTACTTTACTTACTTTACGGCGGCTGGCTCCTGGGAGAGGATAAGCCTGCTTCATGGATATCTCGAATCGCCGCTGCCCACGCTCGGCAATCGGCGGCAAGATCAGCGCATATTGTGATCCAGTTTGACTTCCATTGGCGAACGCCGTAGACGGAGCGGAGACCAAGGTTTTCAGTATCCTTCCGTACCGTGTCAAGCCAGATTTTCAACTGTCCACCGTGCCCACAGCGCCATTTCGGGTAGGGAGGCGGTACCAAGACAGCTTTTGTCAGGTCGTTATCGGGCTTTCAAAGAATGTAGCCAAACCACTGTAGTCGTCGCCGTTGTATTAAAGTCCTCAGCCGTACAATATTAAAACACCGATTTTTGATGGCTTCATTTGAAAGTTGATCCCTCCATCGTACTCCCAGAATGATTCTTAAGCATATGCGATCGGAGGCTTCTAATCTGTGACAGTATTCGACTCTGAGTGGCCAGGTTTCGCAGCCGTAAAGCAATACAGCACGGACTGCTGCGGAGAAAACTCGGATTTTTGTTCTGAGGCTGAATTCATTTCTGCACCAAAGGGAATTCTTTAGCTGTAAAAACGCCCTTCTTGCAGCGTCGACGCGCACTTGCACCTCTAGTTTATCTTAGCCATTGGGGAGAATGGTTGAGCCCAAGTATTTGAAGCTTTCAACGGATTCGATCTGCTTGCCGTTTAGTAGTGAAGCATTCTCGGGATGGATAGGGACTGTCGCAAAGGTTTTGGTTTTTGATGTGTTCACCTCTAGGCCGATCTCGGAGGCCTGTCGATTGGTGAGGTCAAAGATTACTTAGAGTTTAGACAGGTCCTCGCAAAAGACGACAATATCATCCACGAATTCTAAGTTGATGAACCATAAGTCCGGAGAAATCTGGACTCCCTGGTATCCTTCCATCGAGCGACATATAATCCAGTTCACGGCAAAGTTGAACAGCATTGGAGACAATGGGCACCCCTGTCGCCTCCAGACCCTAATCCGAACGGGCAAGATTCCTCTCCGTAGACACGGATTCGGGCGCTAGTGTTAGAATAGTAGGACCTCATTAAGTTGACAAGTTTGACTGGGACACCATCGGCCAGAACAATGTTCCAGAGGGATTCGCGATCTACAGAGTCGAATACCGCACGAAAATGAATGGGGCAAACTGTTGTAGGTTGTTGAAACTTGTGGCGATATTCCAAGAGTCGACGTAGAGTGAACATTTGATCGATGCAACTCACACCGGGGCGGAATCCCTTCTGGTTAGGACGAGTGCGTGCGTGCCTTGCTACAGCAAAGCGGTTCAGCAAAAGTTGTGCAAAAACCTTGGCCGCCATGTCAAGTAAGCTGATACCTCTGTAGTTTTCGCACACTGATTTGTCACCGTTTTTATGGAAAGGTAGTAAAATCGATGTGGTTCAGTCAGTTGGGCAAATTTCGTTTACCAGATTGCACACAGTAAGCTATGAAGAGAATTTGAAATGACTGAAGAACACTTTTCGTAGATTTCGGCGGGTATCCCGTCCTCACCGGGTGATTTCCGAGGCTTGAGATGGCTGATGATATCTGAGACCTTTTCTACTGGTGATGGAGCGCAATTAGCTTCGTATAGAGATGATGGCGAGGAGGGCGCGGAAGTTGGATTTAAGGGCGATTGAGAAGAAGACTAAAGTGTTCCACGCATCGAGACAATTTCCCTGCGCTTCAGAAATGAGCTCATTGGAGGTGCTGCGCTGCACAGAGTGGGTGACCTGTTTCTTGCCCGATGCTGATCGAGTAAGTCGGAAGAGGGTCACCGTTTTGCCCAGGTTGGCTGCTGTCTCCATTTTTGTAACCATTTCATTCCAGTAGTTGCATCTATCGTTTCTGGCTGATCGTAATGCTTGTCGTCTGCGATTGCGATAAGCAGAGGATAGAGCTAGACGGGCCTCTTTGGCCGCATTAGTTAACTGGATGGCGTGGCCGGATATCCAGTCTTTCAGACGACATGTTCTAGAACCTAGTGAGTATAAAGCAGCTTGTTGTACCGAGGACTTCATCCTGGTTCACTGAGTTTCAACCGAGCTCCCTGTGTTACCTTGTGTATCGGGGGGATCGTTTGACTGTTGTGCAGTTATCATGCCCATTAGTGTCTGGCATTTCTCGCTGTTCTCCAGTGGAAGCGCATTTAAACGTTTTGAGGGGACGGTCTTCCTGCGAGTAGTTAGATGGAGTCTAACTTTCGCGCGAACTAGTAGGTGATCAGATCCGCTTTGGTTCCCACATTTAGCCCCGCGATAGGATCGACACTCTTCAATCGAAGAAACCCATCGTGAACGGATGCGGACGTAATCAATTTGATGCGCCGTTCGGCCGTCGTAAGAGTACCACGTTAGAAGATGCCTTTTTGGATGTTGAAATCGCGTGTTGGTGATACACAATCGATTATAATCGGCAAAGCTGAGTAGTCTGTCGCCATTCTCGCAGCGCTGGCCCAGGCCAAACCTCCCTATGATGTGCTCCGTGGCCTCTGCTTGTGGACCAGTTCGAGCGTTCCAGTCCCCTGCTATGGCAAGTACATCCCGTTTGGGTATTTCATTAAGAAACGATTGAAGGCTGCCATCCTTGACGTTGTTGTCAGATGGGAGAGTCGGGGCGTAGACAGCGATCACTGTGAGGTTTGCTTGATGACCCTTGAATCGGGCTACTGCAATCCTAGAGAATACCGGTTTCTAGGAAAGTAAAGNTTAGCCCGATGGCTTAAAGCAAGTGCCACTCCGTGTTGACCCGACGTTTCGTTACCGCTGTGGTACAGCCAGTTATGGCTATCAATACCTGAGATTTTTATACTTTTGGAGCCGGAGCGCGCCAATCTGACTTCTGAGAGGTATGTAATATCCAGCTGATTATCATGCAGCGCGCGTACCTGACTCCAGGCATCTAAGAGTGTTCTTACATTCCGGCATCCAATGTAAGAAGTTTTGCATAGTTTGAGGTGTCCAGTGCGCATACTTGTCGCCCGGGCCACTGGAGGAGCACAGGGCGCGTCGCTTCCCGNACGCCGTAGCATGATTAGCAAGACAGGCTGAGTGGATATCCATGAAACGTTTTGGGAGTTGGGTACAGGAAACGTCCCCATCGTCACCCAGCTCTGGGTTGAGTTGGCATCTCTAGCCTTTGCACATCCAAGTGCTAACTGCAAGGCAACAGGAAGATAACGCATCGTCGCCGGTGGCCCTCTGGAAGGAGCTCATACGCCATTGACAGTCGCTAGCTGAACAAGGGTCCATGCAGCCCTGGTGAGTACGGAGTCATTGTCTCGGCCGCTGAGTCGGAAAATCCACTTCGTCAGCACAACACGTACGTTAGACACCGACTCGCCGGGAGTTGAGCTCCCGGTTACCCTCAACCTGGTTTGACCCGCCTGTCGAGCGGTTTACTGGGGTGTAGCCACTGTAGCATCCAAACAGCTTCTGGGAGCCACAGATGAGAGCTGAGCACCCGATGGAGACCAAAGAACGGGGGATGCCCCAAAGGGGCCGACAGCCATCCGAGTCGGAGGTGCTACTCCTACCGAGTACACCATACACCCCATTTAACAGACTAGATATAATATGATATGCGATGCACTTTTACAAAGCGCTAACGTCCGTCGGGCTCAAGTATTCCATTTCGCCGAGCTTGGCAATTGATTTGCAAACGTTTCATCACCAGCCGAGTTGCCATCGTCAATGCTTGTGAAGTGAAGTTCATCGAGCTGCGAGAATCAATTTGCAGGTCTCAGGTATTTCAAACTAGGATCGTTTAACTTTGATTCAACTGTGAAATGAACAAATTGGTTACCCGTACAACCGATTGCTCAGTGATCACCTAATAAACTTTGTTTTTCTATAACCCTTGTGTCTTTCTTACGCATGCCTGAATGCAACCGATTCCCTGATTATTCAAGCCTGTTCAAAATCATTTTGATGTTCGTTGGTACTAGGTTCAGTGGTATAAAAACTGTGCACCAGTTACAATGTCTCATAACTAATGCCATAAGGTGATTTCGTTCACTTTTTTAGGTACCAAAAGGCGACAGAAATAAAATACAACCGCTGTATTTATTGCACACTTCAATCTGATGCTTTACAATAGACAATCGGTCCGCTAGGACCGACTGTGCGCACCTGATGCGGTTCACAAAACATGTATAAACATCAGTTTTGTCACAGTATTGAAAGCCGACTTTCTCAGCTCGGTGGGAATGAATTTATTTTCCCCTGTTCCCTGAGCTTGGCAATTTGTTTGCAAACATTTCCTCACCAGCCGAAGTGATCTCTTTATTTCGACTGATGATGGAACGTTTGCAAACAAATTGCTATTTTTGGTGAACGGGTGAAATTGAATCTTCATGGTTATTCATCCATCTTTGAGAAAGGAACTCCGATGTTGATAGACCTTGATTCTCGATTGCTCGACTAAACAGGGGTCCAAGATGTTAGAAACCATGTTATCGACGATTTAAAATCTACGAAAAGGTGAACGATTAATGTTTTGATGAATTTAACAATTTGCTGGAAAGATTGCCACAACATGAGAAAATGATGTATTATTAGAAGATATCGGTGTGAGACGTTTGGTTCTGCACGTTTTGGTTGTGCACTGAAAGGCTATATAAAAAATCAAACTTCGATTATGAATTAGATCATCGTGCTAACAGCAGCTGTTAATGTATGAAGTTAGTATGAGCGCCATGTTCAACTTCATTATTCGGCGGAGAACAGAGTAGAATGCATGCCTCTTTAAGTGGACAAATCATCCCCCTTGAACGTTTTGCATTGCCGGGAATCACACAACCCCAGTTAAACTCCACCTAGCCAAATGCAAAATCTACGAGGCTGTGAAAGAAAATTAAAACCATGAGGCTAGTCTCTCTCGAGTTTAACGCTTTACCACATTTTTCAAAACCCTTTTGAATACAGAGATAAAATATCAAACTCTATACTTAACTCGCCTTGGGAAACGTTTTGAAATTGAACTGACTGAGGTCACCTTTTCGTCATAAATAGCTCGTGAGCATTTTAATGCAAAGCAATAAGAGAACAGCAAGTACTATTCAGGGTAAGCCATCGCTGAAATTTGGTACATAGGAGGAGAGTGACTTCATTTACTTACATAGTAGCAATGCATCTTTATCAATTGCTTCAGTTATTTATGTTGTGAAGTCCCTCGGAACAAATTCACCTTCAGATTGAACAAGAAACTTTACCGTCAATTCAGTGAATAAGTGAAATTTATGAATTGCCTTTTCGCACAGAATCCTATTCCGGTTTCCACTTTGTAAAGGCCGTGGGGCTTCGTAGGTGGACCAGCCGCCAAAGTCAAGTGCACCGGGCGTCAGATTCATGCCGTGTGAAATTGGACTGGATTGGAATGCACGACTGAATGTCGTGCTCCAAACTATTCATCCCTACACCGTCACCTGGTAGGTGAAATAGCTTGCATGCAACAAGTGCTCCAAAATGATGTGCACACACCCAGTAAAATAAACCGAATTTCATTCCCGATAACGCTGAAGTCATTTCGATTTAATTATTAGTCATTCACCGCAGACTCTTTTGGTTGTTAAAACATAAACACAAATATGTGCATGATTTAAAAGTTCACAAAACGGTGGTACTGTTGAGAAAAAGGATTTTTCATGGCTTTAATAAACCGCACATATGTTCAATCAATATGAATTTGTTTTTGAATTAAAATGAAATTTATGAGCCTAATTCTTCACTTTGAGGCACTACTTACCGTTTTTATAAAAAATAACAAAACTTTGGATTTCGTAAAAATTTTGTTTAAACGAATACCATCGAGTATTTTACTGTACAACGTACAAGAAGAATTCTTGAAAACACTCAGGTGTTACTGGTCATTCCTGATTTTATTCTACCTAATTTAGTGTTTTACGTATTTCGTGAACAGTCATTACTACCAAAATCACACCCAGGTTTGGCACATATGCATGCGATTCCTCTTTTCCAGACTAATTAGAGGTGTAACATTTTCGCTTATATTTTGTAAACAGTAAACCAGGCAAAAGTGATAAGCAGAAACACCTGGTTGCAAATACAACCAGCCAAGTTTTATTCTCTCGAGGATCATTGGACAGACTAGTCAGGAAGTAACGGAGAAAAGCTTGTTTTAATTTACGACATTTTATCTGCTGTCCAAATTGGTAGCCTAAGATAATTTGAGGGAAATGAAATCAAGTCCTAAAAATGTAATAAGAAAGACGACGTACCGATTCTCTCGATTGTTCCAGAACTACTTAGAATTGTCCCCTGAATATACTAGTAAGTGTTTTGTTTACTAGTTGAGCTTTTATACTTCTCGAAGCTGGCGATTTTCTCATTCAAAAAAGTGATTTCTGCGCTCCACTCTATGCTCCACGATGGCCACAAGAACTAACTCTACCCTATTTTGAAAATGTTTACATTCCAAACTTGAGATCAAGTTTGAGTTTCTATACTGATCCGGCTCTTAGCTCTCCTTCATAAATTTATTGAGTGATTCTGTAGGATTCAGTATTTTTGAGCGGGATATCAGTCTTATTTTGAAAATACAAAAGGAAAGAGCGTGGAGCATTCACAATACGTAACACAGTTCACCAGAGGTACGCTTAGTATCTATCTATCTAAACTGTCCCCTGCTCCGTATATTAAAAAGAAAGGAAAAGAATTTCACTCACCGTGAATCTCATCGATGTACTATCATGACAGTTTTATGCTTCTGTTTCACTTCATATGCAGCGATAGGGAAAACTTGCAAAAAAAATTGTGACCATATTAAAGGTCACACCTGATGTGGGTGTGAATACCGAGAACATAGTCTATGAGAATGAATTACATTTTTCCTCTGAAAATAAGGAACACACAACACACACGGTGAAAGATGTTATCCCAAATACTGTGAACAATCTCATCAGAAACCACACAGTGTCAGATTTCATCCCTTCATTGGAAATGAAACTGATGGGTACAGTATGTAGCTCATGGTAAATCTTTCAACACACTAATTGAAGTTTGTATTGACCACATACTGTCGTTGTCCGATCAGCACTGGTGTTCTAAAATGATTTCGATTATTCCTCACTGGATCTCATCTAATTTCATTTAAACATGTCACCTTTTATGCTCAATTGGATTCCAGCGAACAGGTATTCAAAACTGTCTTCATTAAAACAGGAACATCTAAAGCTGTCCGCCACCAGGCTAATTATTTAAGGCAACAAACCAGAAAGGCAACTGTCGTTTACGGTTCCTCAACTGCTATCCAAATATCATTCACATCAGCATGTCTGGAATTCACATAAGTCCGGTCAAAAGACTAGTCATGCAATATGATTTGGCTAATTCCAGATTTAAGTCTTCCACAGAAATTTGAACAAGCACAAGTTTG